GATGCTCTGACCTTTCCCGTCTATAACTGAAGAGTCAGCTTCACCATGAGATAATCCATTGGAAGAGTAAATCTTATGCAGAGCCTGTGTAGGTGATCCATTTTCCTGGTTTAGGAGCGCCTTTTCTCCCATTTCACCTGCATCCGGTACCACCATACCACTAGGAGTGGTGAATTGAGATGGCTTTCGAGTCATGTACTGTCTCCACCTGGACACCATCGCAGATGTTCTCTGCACTCCCTCTTTGCTATGAAGGTATATCGGCTTTTTGCTGAAATCTGAAACCAGCGAGGCAAACATTTCAACCTGCTCTGCTGAAGGTGCAGTCCCAACCTCAATGGGAATTCGAATTAGTTCTACCTTCCCAGCCAAAATAGCATCATCTATGGCTGCTTCATAAAAGTTGTCCTTTATGGTTTCTGCTCTAAGATCTACAATAGTCTTAAATCCCTTTTCTAACAACCACTTCAAGGCCTCCTCTGAAACCTGCCCACCCATCCAAAACTGTACCTCAGAAGTCTCTGTTGCTATTTCTTCTTTTGAAGTTGATGAATAAACAGCATTCCAATTTGCAAACACTGTATGACAAGGATATGCATCGGAACGAGGGAAGCCAGAATCGTAGCAAACATTTTTCAACCTTTGCAGCTTCCTCCACACCTCCGGGCTTCGATCACCATCAGGTGTCAAGTAGTTTTCAAGAGCAACATGCAGACTTTCGCAACATCTTTTCATCTCACTCCTGAAAATAGCAAGCGGTGGAAGCTTATCCTCCATCGTGCTCACGTCTGAGATACGAAAGGAACTCATGGCCGAGGACCGTCCAGAAAGAACATCTTCCCTTCCTTTGTTAAGAAGCGATAGAACAGCTCCAAGGACAGATACAATTTTATCTTCCAACATAGGTTTTTCCTCTGCTGGGAAATCGTATGGAGCACTACATTCCCCAGTCACTGGATTGCATAATGTGTCCATCAATGCAGTATGAAGCCGTTCAGCTGCTCTGAAAATTCTGCAATATGCCTCAACTTCAGCAATATCCCCTGGAATCGGACCAATCCAAGGTGACTGTGACAAGTCATGAGGCTGGTAATGCTTCTAGTTAAGATGAAGCCATATCAGTACAAGTTGCAATAATCCTATTAAAAGAACTGCATCATATTGATTAAATTCACCAGGCAAGAGAAACAAACAAAAAGCATGTGCGGAGAGTCAAGAGATGAGACTGCAACAGGCAACGAGAAGAAGCAGCTACTTTGCCACTTGAACATGAAAAAGCAATTATCTATGATTAGCTTTAATAAAGCCATATGAAAATGGAAACTTGATACTTTTATTTTTCCACACAGTCCACCTCCATATTTCTGGTCGAACGTTGAAAGATAGGAACAGAATAGAAGGCTTCACTTAACTGCCTGCGATCATCTATATTCCTTTCGAGTGTTCCAGTTAACTAACTTAAACTTCCAAGATGGAATGCGTAACTACTATTTAGAAACCAACCCAAACCCATTGTTAAGAAGAAGAAAAAGAACCTACACGTTGCAAGTTCAAATTCAACAACAAGAATAAGCAAAATGGTGACCTGCAAATAGAACAGCATCAAACAGCAATCAGACGAGCAGCGGTATCAGATGGCAATGAATGTCGTCCCAACAAGATTCCTAGCTTCCAATGAACGCAATATTCCATATCCACCACGTAAACTGGATGTAAACATAAAAATTGCAGCTTTCATAGTTTAAATCATTCAAACACACAGATTGTGATATGCAGGAGGCAACAAGCTCCAAAAGAACTGATGAAACCAGGTATACCCAAAAGAAAGAAGGCAAAGCCACTGCCAAAGCTTTCACAGATGCATTTCATCAAACACCACAGCGTCAATAGAGGCGGAGAAGGCAACAACAACAACAACAAAAACGAGGACACATTGCAAACAAAAACTCAGAAAGACAGCCACTTGAGAGGGAAATTAACAAGGGAAGGAGGAGAATTTTGAAAACCTGAGTGTCTTGAAACCCCAAATTCAAGGAGAAGGACTTAGAAACCTCCGCGGAGACAACGAACTTGAGCTGCCGCCTCCGCTTAACCCGCCGCTTCCTCCGTATCTCCGACGACCCAATACCCGGCAGGTTCCCGCCACCAGCATCTCCTTGCAGCAGCAGCATCGCATTCGAAGTAGCCGTAGGAGGAGGGGAGAGAAAGCAGCCTCCGATGGCCGGAGGGGAGAATCGGGTCATATCGGCGGTGGACGCGTGGCAAGAGCAGACGAAGAGGCCTGCCATGATGCCACCATGTGGTGTGGGTACACTTGAGTACTAGACCGCGCTGCCAAGTAAGTGAACAATTGGGGAAGTAAATGGGTGGTTAGGGATTTTTTATAACAAATTTTGGATTTTGCTCTGCAATATCTGTTGTCTTCTCCGTGGCTGCTATATATATATGGCAGAAGGAAGAGGAAGAAAAAACTGAAGGAAAAGAAACGCAGTTTGGATGGAAGGAGAAAAGGACGCTGGGTGACTCTGTTGCTGCAAGCGAAGTAGAGGGCCTACATGCCCTCTTCTTCCTACATTGGATTGGATAATGTCGACGGGTGGATGGATGGATGGATTTCAGGGCGTTTCCATTGGCGCGTTTGTTTCTGTGGGGTTGGAGTTGTAAAATAATGGATGTTTCGGGATTGGATGTTTTGAATTCACCTTAAAAATGATTTTAGTTTTCGTTGATTTCATGACTTGTTATGTCCATTTATCGTTGATAACTTACCATTGAAGGTATACATATCAAATTACAGGAAGGGAAATGCCCTAACCATCTGTTTTCGATTTACTTTTCAGGGGGTTGGGTTTCAGGTTTGGGTTTAGGGTCTATTAATTGGGTTGGTTCGCGGGTTGGGCAAGAATGGCTAACAGGGCGGGTAAGGCTGAGCTAGCGGGTCGGGTCATCGTTTTTTAATGTTAAAATATGCTGACTGTGTCTTTCTGTTAGCCACATCATCACTTAACGGTCGTCATTAACGGAGGTTAACGGAGAGTAACCGAACTTGGACTGTTCAACTAATTCAAGTGACTATAAATGGAATAAATCAATTCGAGTGGCAAACATGAAATTTTTAAGCAATTCGCATGACCAAACTTGCAATTAAGCCGTTTTAGTTAAGATATTTTATTCCATAGTTAATGAAATTTATGCTTAATTGGTTTGGTTATAACCATAGTAATCATTTGAGCACCCTACCCTACAAGCTAGTGATTTTTTCCCAAATTACCATACCTAATACAAATAATTTCCACACTACAATTGCATTTATATTTCCCAAACTTGTCGAGTTTGGAGCATTTGCTTGACACAGGAACAAATAGTAGTTATCGTTCATGGCAGATATAAGCGATTTAAGTTGCTTGCTAAAAAGAATAATATATCTGACAATCCAATGCACTGATTTAGTTATTTAAATGAGGGGCATAATAAACCATCAAACAACTCAATTCACTCATGACTCATGAGTTATTTATCTAAATAACCGAAACTCGAGTTATTCTAAATACCCCTCTTATTTTTAAATAACTCATTCGGTCATTCCTTCCTCCACTTTCCTCTTTTATGATACTACATTACTACATGCAAATAACACACAAATTTTCTTATTTCAAACAAGACATTTCTACACCCAAATTTATCAAATGACACAAATATCATACCACAATCAATAACTCGTCCAAACAAGCACGTTTATAGAACACAGTGCAAAGGCCCACTCCCAAAACATCACTAAGCAAACATTCCAGTTGTTCTTCAAATACCATGAACACATGGAGCTACCGTCACAACAACCGAAAGAGACATAGTCACCATCTTCAAACGTTCGATGAGGAAGCTAAGCAGAACACCAGAGAACTTTGTAGAGGAAGATGGTGAATGTATGCAACAGAGAAGATGAACACACCAACCTTCGGACCCAAAGCAAAGTATCCACAGTGAGAACAACCTTGCAATCAACAATCACTGAAGATTGGATGTACCCTTGTAGATGAAGACTACTAATCCACTAAAAACCCGCGAACATCGAGAAAAGCAATGAGTATGAAACTATGAACACATCAACTATGATACAGACCACAAACCAAAGACAGAACCTCTTGGCTCCCTTAAACGACCACCATGCAAGCACATATTTGGAGAAACCAGATCAGAAGGAACAAAACATCTCCAAAAACAGGCTTGTGGGACGATTACACTTAAGGAAAGAGGAAAGGCCATAATGACGGAAATAGCAGAGGAAAGCAAAAATAAAAAGTAGGGGGGAAAACATTGCGCTACCACCGATCACCATGAGGTGGAGTGGACAACCCTGGGAAAAGACACACGTTAAGAGGTTAGGGAAAATGGAGGTTTTTCAAACTAGAGTGAGAATTCATAAGACGTGCTGCTAACCTTTAGTGAGATAGCTGCAGCATATTCTCTTTCAAACTCCATCTAATGCATACTACGCGGCATTTATGGTCGTTCTAGAGGTGCCTTACTGGCATATGTGTCCTACTTCAAGCCATGCTACTTCGAGTTCGAACTCTATCGATAAGCATTTGTCTGCCTGTCAAGTCTTCTTCATAACTAACAACCTGCAGGCACAGCAGTTATGCAACATTCATTGTCTGACTGTCAAGTCTATAGCAAGCAAGCCAGCTGCAAGGAAGATGCCTCAAACCTGGGAATCCGTTTGCGTCTCGCTGAAACCATCATAAATTCCTCTATTTGCGTCTTTGGATGATTCGTCTCTTCTCCCAGTCCTGCACGAAGAGCAAGCACGCTGAAAGAGGAAGTATTTGACAATGCAAACTAGAGAGTAAGTCTCATATATCTTTTCTCCAGTTGTCTGGCACAATTTCTCATCATTAAGAACGATACCTGTTAGACCATTGCTTCGGTACCCCACTGACGGAACAAGGGCCCCCATGGTCATCACCGAGCATTTGACACTCAGGAGGTTGGTAAAGCTGTTACGTAGTTAAGGATTCAACAGAGGACAGAAAAATATTTATGCACAAAAAGAAAAAGCAAAAGGATACGCTTTTGTCACAAATAGTTCTCTCAGGTGACTTATGTTCGTGAATCTTGAAAAAGCAATAACAAATCAAACCATTAGTCAGTCCTAGACCTCTGAGATAAATAGAGAGAGAGAAAAGATCAAATGCCAGTGACTTTACTTTGCTTGTCTGTTCTAATAAATCCTCAATAGCAGCAGCTACATCGGGAACAATATGGGAAGAATCTCTGCTGTCTGTGCCATTGCCGCCCATGGTGGAGCTTATGTTGTTGAAACCGTCATTGGAGTTCATGTTCATTATACAATCTCCTGAGTAGACTCGAGAAGAGGGCAGGTTCATTCGGTCATCAGTTTCCACATGACGTGCCTTTTTAGACTGATTTATGGATTGTGTGGCCACTCCCACCATACTGCTAATTTTGTTCTTAAGAGTTAAGACTTGGGCCTCAGTGACGTCTTGCGACTGACTTCTCAACTCTGATGTTGTTTCTCCATGTGTCATCCAAACATCTTCAGAAGGGAATTGGCTCACACTGGCTAAGTCAGTCTCCTGGTCCTGCTGGCTAACTTCTTTTGGGCGAAATGGAGCCAATTCAACCACTTTATTCTGCCATAATCACAGAAGATGTTGGGAAACTACAGAAAGTAGCTGTGCACAAGACTAGCTAGCATATGCCAACACACATCCAAACTTACGGGGATAATCGGTTCTGGAGTTCTGGTTAGACAGAAACCCTACCAGATAGCCACCCATATCTACAATATCACAAATCAAGGGGTTGATAGCCACCCGTACCTGTCTGACACACTCATAGATCCACTCGGCTGTAACCGAGGGTATCCCCCATCTACAAGCAGCTTCATACTTGGGTCCACAGGTTTCCTTACAGAGTAAGTGAGTGACCTTTCTTGTCAACTTGTGTGCAAATTTCGCTCCGAGAACAACACACAAGTTTATGAACAAGGACTTGTCTTTCTCGCTGAATTGAGAAACACAAAGCCGGAAGCTTCCAAAACCAGGCAAAGGAACCTGACATGGAAGAGGGGAATAGAGGATGTGACCGCCGATGTCTAGCAGGATTCCATCCTATGTTGGAAGGCATCAAATTAGCAATTAGCAAGGTATAATATCATGTTTAACCAGTGATATAATCCAACTCCATGTTATAAAGAAGTAATGACATCATATGATGAGAAAATAAAAAAAATGTAATATACACCATGGAAAGAAGCCACGCTACTCCATTAGGTGATAAATACTCGCACACAAAAGGCTGAACCAGACACTTAGGCATGTGAGTGAACCATACCTCTAAACAAGAACGAACCCAGTGACTGGAAACAAAAGCAGTGTGGGGCATAGATGTGGGTATGATACCATGGCATTCAATTGTGAAATCCACATTTTGCACTTCATCATCAACTAATGCACCACCACCTTGGTTGATCCACTCAACGATCTCCGTTCTCTGAAAGAAAAATCAAGAAAACAGTTCGATGTGTTAAGCGATTACCAAGATATCATAGAGCACCACAACTGAAACTCAATGACAAAGATGATTTGTTCTAGCATGCAGATTGACAATTTAGAACTACCATTAGGAGAGAAAGGAAAATTAGAAACTCAAATGTTGCACAATAAGGTGAGGACTTCCCCAAAGTACCATAAGAACGTATGTCACAGATGTGATTCAAATTGCTTACCCTATCTGCAGGAAAGCTCTTTGAAAAGCAGAAGCTTTTTCCCTTAAATACAGCTTCGTGTATCCTGTTTTGAGACTTGTTATCATAGGAATCACGGCTTGTCCTCTTTCCAACAACTTTTGTATCATTATGCACAGGAAATGTGTTTTCCTGAACTTGTCTAGTGGTTGCATCTGGATTAGAGGCTTGATCAACAAAATTGACTTCTTGCTTCTCCTCTTTCTTCTTCTCTATTGGGAATGTCGCTGCCTTGACAGAATCTAGATGTCCATGTTCCTCTGTAATTCCAGAGTCCACAATCAACTCATCGGAGTGTACACTTGGAAAAGAACTATCTGACTTTTTTATGCCATCGGTAGACGCCTTTATGAATCTCAAAGAATCTGTTCATTCAAGACAGAAGAAGAAATCAAAGGCATATTAAGAGAATACAAAGTTCACCCTGAGCAACAAAGTAAAAAGGCATAAACAGGACATGTAAACTAAAATGCTCAGCTGAAAAGAAAGAGGAACCATGTTGTAAAATGGAATACCAATAGCACCTTTAGGGAGAAGTAATTCATAGGCCACATGTTGTCTAAGAACAGGAACTTCTCTCTTTTCCCGATCGCAATCTTCAAGCCACGTTGTTTTAACTACATAAATTACCCCAGAAGCAGCAAGGCTCCTTAGCTCTCTTTTTTCACTACATAAACGAAAAAAGCATGCGTAAAAACAGAAATTTTCAACAGCAATATACAGCCTTTAGCTCAATAGCCAAGTGAGAAAAAACCACTACAGAACGACAAGAACCCAAACACACATGACGAAATCCATGATTTTTCAGTTGATACCACATAATGTCAAGAAATACTTACTCCTCGGTTGGGGATCCGATAATAATATGTGTCAACTGATCATTCAATACCACATAACGGGAGCCCCCACCTCTGCGCACCATGTTAACTAGTTTACGTGATTCAGAAGATTCAAAGCCAACAAGTGATATCCTACAATCAGCCAGGTATAAATCGTTGTCTTCTGATTGAGAATCATCGGCAACACAATTGCTAAAGCTTGTTTCATTTGTCGGCTGCAATACAGGAACCTCATTCTTGGCTTCTTTGACATATATGAAAGGATTCGAGAACATAGAAGACATGTTCTGGGAGAGAGTTGCTTCCACATCCGAATCTGTGAAACCAGTTGATTGACATACAGCTGAGTTTGAATCAATAGCAGCTGAGGATTTCTCAGATGGCAACTGCCTGGTAGTCTTCTCCTGGCTACACTTTGATGTCAGGAAACTGCGGAAGCTCGTGCTTGAAGATGCAGAACCACCCTGAACAGGATATGACTCCTCATTTAGACATGCTATTCATCGAAAAGGAGAAATCCAAGTCAGATGCAGCTCATGAAATGTCTAGAGCACCACAAGGGACATCTAGGAAAAAGTCAGCACTCCCGGAATGTATTTTTCAGATTAAAGAAGAATCACTTTTTACCTCTTTTAGCAATAGACTGATCAAGCCATTTCCGAGTTACAATGTTTATACAACCCCATTTTGCAGCTACTATAAATTTGTCACCTTTAGGAGCTTGCAAGAAGTCAAGGAAACAGTACGAACTAAACATGAACAACTTGCACTCGAAGTTCAACATCTACTCTTCACCATATCAAATAAAAGACTCGCAGCTTCAACATCCATCAGACCCAGCAGAAGCAACACAAACAGCCAAATGCTGCTAACTCTTCAAGAAACACACCCAGGAATATTCTAACTCAAAATCTAGAGGAACTCTGAGCGCCTATTTACGATAACATATCAACTCATACTTTCTTCACAGGAGTGGCATGGCTACTTATGCTTCTTTGCAAGTCAACTAAAGACTATACTGGTTAACTCACAAACATACAAGTAACCTGCGGAAATAAAATCTAAATGGCCAATATAATGATTGGTCATTTGTAACCTCGAAATAATATCTTAAAGGAAAATAGTTAGTTCATAAGAACAATGGAAAAAGTGCTATGATTATAACATAAAACTCATATCAGCATATAATTCCTAATGATAAGGATATTTCACAGATCAAATGTGTGCATTGCTTGGTCAACTCAGGAGAATACTTTCCACCGTTTTGAGTGATAAGCGTCTCAATCTTCTTCCGCTCTTCTGATAGAAACCAGAGAACCAGAGTTAGAGAAAAGAGGGGGAAACAAAAGGTCTGTGGAAAGCAACTGAGTTAAAGAAGTAACCTCCTACAATTCCAGTAACACAAATTCTTAAGCCACATAATGGAAGAACCCTATGTAAGTCTTGGGGGACAACACGATGCTCGGTCCAGCACTGGTATAACCAACTAGCAGTAACACCTGGTTTCTTCAGAACATTCAAAGCCCACTGCATGCCAATTTAAATTCACGTCAAATGAGAAGAATCGAAAACTAGGTTTTCCAACCGATCAGGCATTCTTAACAGAGATGCATAAAAGGAGGACAAAACAGGTAGCAAATGAAAGCAGGTTGTGGAAACATTAGACAAGTACTGGACCTTGTACTTGGCAGCTAAAACATCCTTCACAATTACGAAACTAACATCCAAGGATGCCTTAGAGCACAACTCTCCTCCCATTGCTTTAACCAACTTTTCTATCTTAACCTGCAATACAGGTAGAAAAATTCCATGTTTAATGAACTAGTGATGAGAGGCAGCATTAGAAAGGAAACTGAAACCTCATCCAGCTCTTTGTTAGGACCAAGAGAAGAAGAAAATGTTTGCCGAAAGCTTTACTAATACATCAATCAACCCATAAGCCACTAACCTTCTCATCCGGATCAAAACCAGATGCAAGTACTTTGAGACCATCCATTGCTAGGCAACAAGTGAAACCTTGCTTAGGCAATTGCTTGTGTTCTTTAGCACATGAGAGAACACACTGCGGACCTATCCAAAAAAAAAAAAAAAAATAGAATTAGGTCAAGCACAATCCCAAACCACAGACAAAGCCTCTCTGCCGCATGTAGAGGCTATACCTAACAAATTACATCCCTTAGCTCTAAGATCCTCGAATTTCTCCTGCAAAACGAACCAAGAAGAAGAAGGAAACCACAATCACACCACGAAACTAGGGAGGGAATGTATAAAAGGAGAAAGTGGAAATGGCGGGAATCGCTGGAAATGAGCAGCACCGGTTGTAAGAGAGGGCTTACGTGGTCGGGAGAAGAGATGACGTGGTAGTCGTTGCGACCGTTCCGTGAAGGATCGCAGCAGGGGAAGACCTCGGCGCCGTTGAGCTTGAGAGCGTCGAGGAGTGTGTCGAAGATCTCCGGCGGGACGAGGTTACGGGACATGAATACGTTTGCTCCCTTGAAGGTGTTGGTCTCCAGCATCTTTCTCCACTAGGCTTATCTTCGCCGATTGGGCTGAATACAGCTGAGGGTGGAGACTGGAGACTGAGCTACGAGTCGTAGGCCGTGGAGCTTCCGGGGGGTAAGCTAGAAATGTGAGAGTTAGGTTTTCTGCGATTTGTTTGGGGAGGGAAGTCAATTCGAAATCTGTGTCGAGAGAGGAAAGAAATGGGGAAGGCGGGAAGGATTGAGAATTTTGACGTGGTCCCATAGCCTAGGGCTGGGCATGCGGGCGGATCATCCGCGGATTTGGACCGACCCACCCGCATTTGACCTGAATTTCGTTAAGTGGATGGGTCAGTGGGTGGGTGACGGGTTGCGCTGGGAGCCATCCGCCGGGTGGTGGGTGGGTTGTGGGTGAGTGTGCGGGTGACCCGCTCAACCCAACAGCAAAAAGATCAAAGTTGTTGGCGCTAGAGAGAGGAGAGTGTAGACTTTAGATATAAACTCGGACTGCTCCTCGAGTTTGAACCTCAAAGCCAACCTTCCAAATAGAGATCCCCTCTTCTTCCCTTTACTTTTTCCTCTAATTCTTGTGCCTAGATCACCGCTCTTTCCTTTGTGAAATTATTTTCCTTAGTTTCTTGCACCTAATAATCGTCTCAATCTGTAGAAAACTCTTTCATAATAGAATTTCTATCCAATTTAAGAACTAATTCAACATTTTTCGCCCTATTTCAACTTCTTGTTTCCCTCGATGATTCTCTTCACTTATTATCATGTCAAGTTGACTCCTTTATATTATATACATTGTGATGTGGGTGAACCCACAAACCCACCCGCATCATCCACCATCAGCCCGACCCAACCCGAGACTAAATGTGGGTGGGTGGTGGGTTAAAAAATAACAATCCGTGTAAGCGCGGGTGGGTGCATTTTATGGTCAAAATCCACCCGACCCACCCAATGCCCACCCCTACCATAGCCCATATGTACGGGTCTTGTTCAGGTAGACTTGGTACTTTTCGGTTTTCCCCCTTTGTTAATCGGCCCAGGCGCCCGGCCCAGGATGGAAGTATGCATTGCAGAGGTGTCCTTCCCTGAGTTATTATTTGGATAAAAGGGGTCCGATTCCGATAACACATTACAATTTCCAAGTCTGGCACCATTACAATTGATAGAATATATGTGTTCCAAACAGAAGATCAGATTAGGTTAGCTAAGAAATTAAGTGATGCATGCATTCTGATTCGGCTAAATTGCAAGTTTGGTCACTCGAATTGCTACAAAATTTCATGTTTGGTCACTCGAATTGGTTTATTCCATTCGTAGTCACTTAAATTAGTTGAACAGTCCAACTTTGGTCACTCTCCGTTAACCTCCGTTAGACTCCGTTAGTACCGTCAGTTAAATGCCAACTTCGCTTACTTATGAACTGTTATTCACGGAAATCGTTTTCAATGATCACTTAACTTACCGTGATTTTGCTTTCTCAGGAAGACGATGTGCAGAACTTGAAGGAGTCGGAGATTGCCGAGAAGCAAGCGGAGATCGCCGATGGCAACCAGGATGCGCTTCTACAGGTACATCTCTGAATCTTCGACTCCCTGTAGCTCTCTTCGCATATCAAGTAACATCGGTTGGTATATGAACTAGCTTCTAATCAAGGTTCTGTGAATTGCCTCGCTGGAGAGGATTTGATGATTGCTCTACCTAAACATGAAAACTGGTTTCGCATATGTAACTAGCTTCTAATCTGTTCTGTTAATTTCCTCGGAGAGGATTAGATGATTGCTCTAACTAAATATCAAAATTGGTTGGTATAGCTTCTAATCAATGTTCTGTTCATTGCCTCGTTGGAGAGGATTTGATGATTGCTCCAAAGACTATGGAGAACTAACACCATTTCTGTTTTTCGGGTGTGTTTGGGTGTTCTATTTGATTGTTTGTCAGGTTGGAGTGGGAACATAGCTCCAATGTGGCATTGAGGGGGTTCTAATTGGCTTTCAAGAAGCTTCAGAAAGCCACAGCTGATGGCTGTACCACTGGAGAGCTGAACAGCTTCAGAGAGAAAGCATCAAAGGCAGCTGAGTGCTTGGTCGGAACTTTCCGGTGGATATCGGTGGCGGATGCTTCGGATATCGAGGCAGCCCACCACTTGAAGGCTTTTCGAGCTAACTTCACCAGCAAATTCTCTGTGTACGAAGGGTCACGGAATCCGCATATCGAGGAGATCAGAGCGGCAGCAGCCACTCGTGGGGTGAAGATCTATTGTGACAACAAGCTGGACAACAAGCCTGGACAACAAGCTGGACAAGAGTGATACCAATGAAAGTGTCCTTTTGGTTACTGTTCATGCAGAGACATTTTTCACTAGTAGAACGGTTAAGGTGAGGCAGTATTCTCATACCATTTATTTCTGTCTTTTGATCACCAGATCGTACAGGTTCTTCAACATTATTAGAAGGCTTTCCATAGAGCAACTTATTTTGTCCATAAGCACTTGCATCCTGCATTTGTTGTTTGAGGTGTGAAGTATCAGAAGATCCACTAGCATCTTTTGATTTATTTGAAAGTTTCTTTGCTTGGAGAGTTCCAGGCTTCTGCATCTAATGCCTCACCATTTGACATCTTAGTTGAAGATGGATCCAAGCATAGTTTACTTTAGCTTCACCAGATTTCTTCTTGGAACAAGTTCCAGATAAATTAAAAGGCTTCACATCCTCATTATATCCACCTGAGTTAAACCAAATCCTGAGAGGGTCTGGAGGAATTCTTTCCAAGTGGATTGCTCTGTCTTTCCAGCTGCTGATTTCCAATCTTAGCATGTTTATTAGATACATTAATATCGCCACTGTCAACAGGAGCTTTATTTAAGTCTTTTCTCCTCCCTTTCTTTGACTGCTGGTTAGGAATGTCAGCAGGCTCACTTCTTTTTTTTTTTTTGGTAGAAAGGACTGATGCAAAAGCGTCTAACTCATATTAATAACACGTTCATGGGATATACCCATTACATCATGGTGAAGCTAACTAACTAATCCAGAATCTCTGACATTGAGATTGTGTGTACCAAAACTAAAATCATGGCCGAGATTCGCCAAGTAATCAGCTGCAAAATTGGCCTCTCTGTACACGTGATCCACTGTAACATCCCATTCGAGACTGAGAAGCTGGCTGAACTGCTGTGCAATACTACCATGTCTATGCTCCTCTTTGTCCCTGTTCCTGATGACATCGATGGCTGTGGTAGAGTCCATCTTCAGATTCACCTTTCGATAGCCCTTCTTCCACGCAATTTTCAAACCATCAACCGCTCCCTTGAGTTCAGCTGCTGTTATGGAGCATCTCCCAAGGTTGCAAGTGAAAGCTTCCATGCAGTAACCCAAATGATCACGTAGAAGTCCTCCTGTTGCGGCAGCACCTGTTTGTGGCAAAACCGAGCCATCAGTATGCAGCTGGATCCAACCTTCTGCTGGTGGAGGAGATAACTACAACAATGAGGTGGCGACAAACCCATTGAGACTGATGGATCTCACTTCTCTCATAATCAACACTTGAATCACAATAAGCTAATGCCACGTAATAACTGTTTCTGTGATTACTGATTAATCAAAGATGCCCTGTTGGGATATACCATCAAATTAACCTTTTTTCCTTTATTTATTTTCCAAGTGGGTTCTTCATGAAAACCTATTACGATGTTGAATTAACGTTTGAATTGACAAGGTAAAGTAAAAGAATTTGAATTTTTTAAATGGATGCAACAATTTTTTCTAATCAAAACTTTTTTGTGAGTTTTCTTGAACATTTAACTCACTAATTAGTGATTACTTTGTCCGTGGTTTTTAACACATGTGTTGGTCATTTCTGGTCCTTGTATTATAACTGATCCACATAAAAGAAAGGCCAACATAAGGTTATTAGTACTAATCAAAAGCTATACAGATGGTAAATCAACCATAAAAAACCTAACCAAGCGTCTTTTGTAGAGGAGAGTGATACAAACTAAAAGCTAGTGTCTTTATTCATGATTTATTCCCGCCATAGAAGCAAAATATGATTTGGTATGAAACAGGGTTTTTCATGAGACCTGAATCCATTAATTAATTCAGAAAACCTTACAACATGCAATCAAGGCTTAGATGGGCATCTGAGCCCAAAATGTCAACAATAAAAGAAAAGTCTATCATCCCAAAATTGGGTTTGGTCCCAATTCGTATCAATACGGGTCAGAACATGGGCTCTGGCTCAGGCATCCGTTACCAAACTCCCTTTTCCCGGCGCCGGCGAGACCAGCCAACAAGAAAATGGCCATTACAATCCCTGATAGCTCCCCCATCCCAATTCCTCCACTATTCAAAATACCAGGCAGCATCAGTATTAAACTTATAAACGCCCTGGGTTTTACTTTATATGGTAACTAGATCATATACGCCACGCCAGGGACAGAGCTGGGATTTAAGTTTCAAGGGCTGGTGTTATTAAGTATATAATCATAAAATGAGGAAAAAATTATATGAGGAAATTAATATATTTTTTAATGATTATAAAGGCGCAATGTTATTCAAAATAATCCAATCACTCCAAATTAAAATTTATATTATGTTATGTTTAAACTAAATGAGCAAACTACGAATAAAAATCAATCATGCTTTACTCTATAATGTTTTCAGTATTTTTATATTTGGAAAATGAATGTCCATTTTTGTATTCACAATTACTTTTTTTATTTATTAAAAAGACACGTACTGGGATTCAAACCATGACCATTTTAAAGAAAAACAAGGATCATAACCAATCACACTAAGTACATTTTTTGTATCTTTTAAAATTAAAAACATATAATAGAAGGGAGGAAAAAACTCTTCCCCCATTTCAAATTCTCTGCTCCAGGAGCGTTTGTAGGAAGGGTAGAATAGGGAGTGTCAAGTTTTTTCTCTTTCCTCGGTGGAACGTGCCAACTTACCGTACACATGCGGATTTAAATGGGTTCAGGAGTTTCAATTTTTTTCATTAAGCTCTTTTATTTCTCCGTGGTGATAAAATATATACGAAAAGGCAAAAACAATACTCCTTTTTATTGCTAAAAATAAAAAATTTAACAATAAACTAATGCATGGTATCTAATGGGCTAACCACAAACCATAAAATAAAAGAGTTGAATGAGCCTGACCTACACGGGATTTGGCCATCAAGTAAAACAAATGAACATCATTGGTTTGTCATTCTAAAATAAGCTATTTTCTCTGACATAATATATATTATGCTATTATTTTATATCTTAGTGGCTAAAATATAATGTATTTTAAAGTTATTCAATGGTTCAACCTCGACCAACCCAAATGATAAAATTATAGTGTATTTTACAGGGAATCGTTTGGTATTTGTTAGTAAAAACTAAACAGAAAGATCTATTTGGTTATTTTAAACATTAAAATGATCCTAAACATTTTCAGTTCCTTTTGAATTTCTATGGTTTTATTCCTGAATAAGTGATGTGCAAATGGCGAATTGCAGTCATCTCTTTTCTTTCGCTATTTTTTATTTTCAAATAGAAAGTTTAAAAGTAAAGAATAATTATAATTTGGCATGGGTCGGTCAAACATGCTGAATTTAAAATTTTGGCCCGTTTTGATCAAGTCTAATTTATAATCACATGGTTCCCTGATACTTGATAAAAATCTCAATCCAAACCAGTTTGGCAGGTGAATCCGTGTTTACCACCATTTTTTAGGGATACGACAACGACAGTTTCTATCCCAAATCGTGTTGTTCGTTCTTGATTTTCTTAGATTTCATCATGGCCTGACAAAAACCAGAAAGCACAATGACGACAAGATGAAAGTTTTATAAAGAAAATTAATCGGCCAACGGGCCAAGTAAAAGTTAGCAACGATTGTGAGATGCTAATTTCCTGAAAACCGACGAGATAGGCAATTTTTTATTCGATTTTCTGAAATTCGGCTTCTATAAAACTTACTCCACCTCATCATATTACCAGAAACAATATTATTTCACAAGGTAACAGATACTTGATTTTGGTTCATAAGGCCGATTTTTGATTCGTTGCATCATTCATGTCTCTTTCCTGCTAAAATTCATTATTTTTATCACGTGTTTCCCAAAAAAAACTATATAACAATAAGTTATACATCCCATTACATTATCAAATTTCATACCTCACATTCCTCCGCCCAACTGACCGGGACCACGCTAGTTAATTAATTATATGATCAAAAGAATCGTTAAAAGATAATAGAGTCATAGCACAGGACTTGTACGAAAAATGTACAAGTTGATGAATTGGCCATTCGATCTAACAAATCTGTAAAAAGTAAAGTAGTACAAATTAATGGGTAATTGATCAAAATGGTCACATAGGTTTGATCAAGTAACAAAATGGTCATAAACGATTGAAACGTAACAAAAAGGTCACGCAAGTATCATGTTATAACAAAACAACTATTTCATGTATTTTCATCCAAAATGACCAGTTTGCTTGCTCTAAATAAGCGGTAATTTCACATATTGGTTAAGTGGTTGATAATTTGTTATCAATTTTCCATGGTGTCATCAAAATAATCGATTATTATGGATGAAAACATGCCTAAAAATAGATGAAATGACTGTTTTGTTATATCTTGATATGTATATGACTTTTTTGTTACGTATCAACGTTTGTGACCATTTTGTTATTGGTCCAAACCAATATGACCATTTTGATTAATTACACACAAATTAATTACCTGCTTCTTTACTTGAACCCAGGTCTGGGTGTGTGTGATTAGAATGCTCTCCACTCTACTATCTCACCTTTAATAGCATTATGTAGCGCATAAGCATATTAATATTCAACTTTTAGTTTATACGTAATTTTCCTAAACCGTAAAAAATTTGTACATAAATTCAAAATTCTCGTGGAGCCGGCCCACCTAGCTCCGCCCTTGCGCCACGCTTTGTGTGACAAATAATAAAGTGTAATTATTGTTAATCCAACAACGCTTGACACCCACAGTTAAAAAAATTAAGATTGAAATGGTTCTTTTAAGGAGAGATTATTTTCCGAGAGAATCATTGTTTATACAAAACCATTACTTATGCCCCCATATGTTGCCATGTTTGTGCTGATAATCGACTGATTAGCTGAAACAAAGAACTTGTATTCGTTTGAATACAAGGGTTCGGAAGCAGCAAGGTTGTCAACCCGTCACTTTGACCTTGACCCAGTGAGAAAAACGGGTCTCAAGCACCCGCCGGGTAGACCGTTATAAGGTACTGGGTTGGAGGTCAAATTGTGTCATTTTATTTTCTCAAAACGACAGAAGGAATGCTCTCCCCTGCTTGAAAGAATGCTCTCTGAAAACCTCCCTCCCGCTCCTTCACCGGCGACGACTTTAGCCCAAGCTGGTCGTCCGCCGGAGAATCAATCTCCGTCCTTTTCAGCCTCCTCCTCTCTCCCGCTATCTCAGCCGGCCACAGGCACGCTTAACTTCAAATCTGCCTTGGCGGGGCCGTCGCCTTCCACCTCGAAGAAGCTCAATCAATGGACCTTTGTTGGGCAGAATGATCTGGAGACTGGGTCCTTTGAGGGTGAGCCAGAGCTCAGAATTTCGACTCAATTTAAAGAACGGCTCTGCATCCCGTGGAAGAAGACGCTGGTAATCCGCCTGCTGGGGCGCTCGGTGTCCTATACCTACTTGTGCTCTCAAATCCGATGGAAATGGCGACCAAAGGGATCTATGGACATCATGGACTTAAACAACAACTCCTTTCTGGTGACCTTCAGTGAAGACCAAGATTATCTCAATGCTCTTACAGGCGGACCGTGGGTAATCCTTGACCATTACCTGGTTGTGCATCAATGGTCACCCTCGTTCCGCACTTCTGACAAGCCCCACAAATCTGTTGTAGCATGGGTCCAGCTTCCAGAGTTGCCCGTCCATTTTTATCATCGTGAAGTTCTATTCGCCCTGGGCAATCTATTGGGGCGTACAGTTAAACTCGACTACCATACTGAACAGTTGGAACGTGGGAAATTTGCCCGGCTTGCAGTTGAGTTAGACATGTCGAAACCCCTCGCGACTCGCATCCGTCTCGATGGATTCTGGCAGCCGGTTCTCTATGAAAACCTACCGGATATTTGTTTCCACTGCTGTAGAATTGGCCACCTGGAGCAGAGTTGCCCCTATCTCCCCGGAAGCCTCCTCCCCGTTGGAACCACCACGGCCAACAACGTCGAAGTGTCCCAACCGCCGCCTTCCTCGCCGGAGCCCCCCGCCGGCTATGGCCCTTGGATGCAGGTGACGCGGAAAGGAAGGAAACCTAATAGGAAAGTGGCGCAAAATCCGAATCCGACCGTTGCACCGTCTTCTAACAAAGGAGGATCTTCCGGGCAGCCCATCCCGACAGTATCGGCTAAATCCGCTGGCGAGCCAAGCAAAGGGATGACCGTTAAGCCTGGAAAAGGAAAGAATCAGCAGAGGACTGAAACTAAGAAAGGTAACTCTGTTCCTAGTCCAGGGAAAGTGACTGAAGACAATGGAAAGTCAGACTTGGCCTCCAAGAAGTCGACTGTGGGCCAGGAATGGAGAGCTATTGGGCCGCTCAGCATTTCGGATGCCTCCAAGGCCCAGTCTAACCCCCCCACTCCTCTGATTGCGGCCCATCTGAACCAGCCCGGTATGGATGACAAGAAGAAACTTCTACCCATTTCTGCCTCTCTGGGCAACCCTTCCTCCCCGACCAACTCTGCTTCTCCCCAGACGGTAGACATGAGAGAAAATGTTGAACCAAACCCTTCGATATCAATTCGCCAGAGAACCAACATGAAGAAGGCAGCCAGGCAACCCCTGAAGGATGTCACGCCCGGAATTGTCAACCTGTCTGTCAACAAGAGGAAATCCTCTCCTGGAACTGTCGTGAAATAGCTATCGGCGAAGCTGAAGTCTGGCGCTATTCCTATCTCACGGAAAGCAATTGAGGAATTCATCTCATCTCCCCTAGCCTTAACGGACGATGCTGCTGGGCAAACGATGGGGGAATCAGTGGACACCGCGATGTCGGAAAAACTCGGGAATTTGGAGACCCGGTGCCCGTCGGAGGATATCAACCCTGCTCTGCCGACCGTGACTTCGCCCCTCTGATTACTTGGGCTTCCTTTCCCCTTTCCCTCTTATTTTAATGATCCGTCTCTTTTCTTGGAACTGCCGGGGGGCAAAAAACCCCAAATTTCTTGCTGTCTTTAAAGATTATTGTCGTTTGTATAGACCGAACATCGTCTTTATCGTTGAGCCACGAATCAGTGGTCAGGACGCGACTGACGTTATTCGGTCTATGGGTTTCAACAAATCTGTCAAAGTTGATGCTATTGGGTTTTCCGGCGGAATTTGGATCCTCTGGAATGACACCAATTTTACTATTTCTGTCGTTGACAGTAGTCCTCAATTCTTACACTGTCGATGTACGGTTTTGCAGGACAACAAGTCTGTCTTGCTGACTGCTGTCTACGCGAAGCCTACTGATCATGACAGAACTCCGCTGTGGAATGCTATTCGTCATATGGAGCGAACCATATCTGAGCCGTGGCTTCTTGCAGGTGACTTCAACTCCATCCGTTTCCCCTCGGAACGTCAGGGTGGGGCTGCTTTCAACCCTCACCGGGCAGCCAACTTCAACAGGTGTATTGATGACTGTGGTCTTCTGGATGTTGGCTTTGTGGGGCCTAAATTCACGTGGTTTAAAGGCAGCCTCTCTTGCCGCCTTGACCGCGCTCTTTGCAATGAGGAATGGTTCCAAATGTATCCAGACACCTCCAATTCTCATTTGCCGCGTCTTCGATCGGATCACAGGCCGTTACTTATCTGCAATTCCTCGGATCAAGCGAGCCATCAAAACAAGAGGCCTTTCAGATTCCTTGCTCCTTGGCTGGCACACCATGATTTCCAACCAACTGTTGCCAGCTCGTGGAAGATGGGGGAAGATTTTCTCTCCTCTCTGCAAGACCTCCAGATAGCTCTCCTCAATTGGAATAAGGAAACCTTCGGCAACATCTTTTTGAGGAAGAAGAAGCTCACCAAACGCCTTGAGAGGCTGGAAAGTCAGAATGATCTTAGCCCACACCCTGCCTCCCTTGACCAAGAAGCCCGAGTCCGTGAAGAACTTGAAGACAGGGGCGGACCTAGGGCTATGGAAGGGGTGTCGTCCGACACCCCTCCGTCCGAAAATTTTGTGAAGGACTTATATTTTTTCGGTACAAAAAAATTTAATTTGATACTTCCGACACCGCTCCAATAAGTATAAGCGACACACCTTCATTATACGATAATAGTTTTAGTGTTATAAACTTATTCATCATAATTAGTCATTAACAATAATAAGTAAATCAAATAAGCATGCTTATTTTAAGTAACCCACAACCCAATTTAACTTGTCAATTTGTAGTTAATAGGTGAAATGGGTAGATTTATGGGAGATTGTGGTTTGATTTTGGTTAATTTGGTAGAACTAGAGGAAAAATGTTAATGATATTACTTTAGGCATACTTTGTTTTGTCTAAAATTGCCAATTGGTAGATCGTGATTTACTATATTTGAGTATAAACTATTTTATTTTAAGTTTTATTTTAGACGTGAGTCGATTCCCTTTGGTTGAGTGACTAATTTATGGGTTGAGTGACTAATTTATGAATGATTATGTAGTTGTGTATATCGAAAAATGTTTGATTTGCAATATAAGCGATGAATGTATTTTAAAAAAAAATTCAGGATATGAAAAATCGTCATAATTCGTAGTAAACACGACGTTGTTAACTTATAAAAGAATTTTCAGTAATTTCTATTAAACATTAATTTTTATTTAATTATTTTATTTATTATAATTTTTTATCGGCGACACCCCTCTTCAACGATCCTGGGTCCGCCACTGCTTGAAGAAACCCTTTGGCAGGAGGAACTCTTGTGGATTCAGAAGGCGCGAGCTAAGTCTATACTCGAAGGTGATAAAAATACGAAGTATTTCCACAACATAGCTCTTGCCCGGAGAAGACGTAACAGAGTTCTCAAGCTCCAAGACAGCAATGGTGTGTGGATTGAGGACTCCAATGACCTTGCGAGTTTAGCCAGGGACTATTACATCCATCTCTTTGCTGACCCTGCTACTGTAAGGCCTGAGATCACGGCTGGCTTCCCTGCAATTGATAGCGAGCAAGTCAGGGGTCTTGGCACTACCCCCTCTGAGCTCGAGATTGTCAGTATAATAAAAAATATGGGCAGCCTCAAAGCCCCCGGGAAGGATGGCTACCATGCACTCTTTTATCAGAAATGCTGGCAGATTATTGGGGAGGACTTCTATGCTTACCTCGTGCAGTGCTTCCAGAACCCTGAGCAGATTGCGAAGTGCAATGCCACTTTACTTGCTTTGCTTCCTAAGGTTGACAATCCGACAACCATGTCCCATTTCCGACCAATAGGACTTTGCAATGTGAGTTACAAAGTGATTGCCAAGTGCCTTGCTGACCGGCTCAAATGTTTCTTGCCAAATCTCATCGATGAAGAGCAGACTAGTTTTGTCCCTAACAGACACATAACGGACAACATCATCATTTTGCAAGAGGTGGCTCACTCTTTCAAGGGAATGAAAGGTAGACAGGGGAATATGGTTCTAAAAATTGATCTCGCCAAAGCCTATGACAAGATCAACTGGAGGTTCCTTCATTCTACCTTGATAGCAGCAGGTCTTCCAGAGGATTTCATCAGATTGGTTATGGCTTGTGTCACTACGACTAGTTTCCAAATTCTCTGGAACGGTAGCTGTACGGATGCTTTCCAACCGGCCCGAGGTCTTCGTCAGGGATGTCCTCTCTCTCCCTACCTTTTTACTTTGTGTATTGAGCGTCTGAATCATTGTATCAAAGATTCAGTTGATAATTACATGTGGAAGCCTATCTTTCTTTCGCAGCATGGTCCGCCTCTCACTCACTTGTTTTTTGCAGATGACCTTGTGTTATTTGGGAACTCGGATGTGAAGCAGGGACAAGTCATTTTAGACATCCTCACCAAGTTCAGTGAGGCCTCAGGCGAAGAAATTAATCAGGCTAAGTCTTGCATTCTGTTCTCCAAGAATACCACCACCCGCACCAAATCTAGAATTTGCAAGATCCTTGGTATCAAGGAGACGGATAACCTCGGAAAGTACCTCGGTGTCCCCATTGTTCATGGCAGAGTTACTCGGGACACTTACAAGTACATTCTGGAGAAAGTTGATCAACGTTTAGCTGGATGGAAAACGCGCAGCCTATCCCTAGCGGGCCGTGTGACTTTGGCGGTCTCTGTGTTGAACTCTCTCCCTAACTATGTGATGCAGACTGCTGTCCTGCCTTACTTTATCTGTGACACAATTGATAAAAAGATAAGGGCTTTTGTCTGGGGTGCAGAAGAGGGGCACAACAAAGCTCATCTTGTCTCATGGGATAAGATATGTCGTCCTAAGGAGGAAGGGGGTCTAGGGCTTAGATCTGCTAGAGCCTTGAATCTTGCCTACCTCATGAAGCTTGGCTGGAGCTTTATTAATAATGACAATGTGTTGTGGGTTAAGATTTTGCAGGATAAGTACGTGCGGCAGAATGATGATGGTAGTGTCTCCTTTAGACGAGACCGGACTTCTAGTCTTTGGAGAGGGATCATGCAAGCTCTTCCCCTTGTCAAGCAGGGCTCGACCTGGGATATTCGCAATGGTCGGGGGGTTAAATTCTGGTCTGACCCCTGGCTAGCAGAAGGTGTTATCCTGTTGGATTATGCCGATGACCTCAATAACAGGATCTACCGGGACGCCTCTGTAGCTGACTTGTCTCTGGATACTGGTGAGTGGGACTGGGACCAAATCGAGCCGTTTCTGCCTTCTGAGTACATTTCCCTGATTGCAGGTACAGACCCCCCTGATCCTGACGCGGGAGAAGATACCATGAGCTGGAGTCCTGAAGCAGATGGCAAGTTTAGGCTGAAAACTGCCTACTTAGCTGCTGCAGAGTGGTTTTGCGCGGACTGTGAAGACAGCGCGGAAAGTGACATCCCTTGGAAGCAGGTTTGGCGCTGGAATGGGCCGAATCGTATCCGCCATTTCCTGTGGCTATCCCTCCATGGCAGGCTAATGACTAATTGCGAAAGGAAGCGCAGGAAGATATCCGCCTCAGACACGTGCGAGAGTTGCAAAGCTGCCCCAGAGTCGACCGAGCACATCATTCGCCACTGCGCATCCTCCAAACAGGTTTGGGACCTTTTGAACATAAGAGATAATAACCTGACTGTGGGCCTGAATTTTGCAGAATGGATGGGCAAGCGCCTCAATCACCCCAGCACTGGACTCTTGTTCGGAGTAGCTGCCTGGTACATCTGGAAACGGCGCAATGAAATGATCTTTCAGAATAAACATCAAGACACTGCAACCCTCGCCTGCAGAATCCGCAACTGGACGCGTACAATTGAAGAGGTGCAGTCTAAAGATAAGTTGATCCATTCCAATCACCGGGATAAGCAGGCTGAAGATCTTTCCTGGATCCCTCCACCTCAACACTGGGTTGCTGTCAACACAGACGGGTCGGTCAAGCAACCGCACTCTCAAGCTGCGTCGGGCGGTATCATCCGCGATCACCTCGGCAGATGTCTGGGCGGGTTCTATGCAAACCTTGGGGCATGTACGATCACAAGGGCAGAACTTAAAGGTGCCCTCCAAGGTTTGCAATTAGCTTGGCGTCTGGCTTCAGGAAGATTCAGTTGAGAATGGACTCCACTACGGCGATTTCTCTGATCAACCGGACGGAGCACAGCAACAATAGATACCACATTCTGATCGGGCAGCTCAAGGAGCTCCTTCACCGCAATTGGGAGGTTGTTATCTCTCATTCCTACAGAGAAAGTAATAAATTGGCTGACTACCTAGCCAATAAAGGCCATTCTGCTACTTTAGGCCTTCATCCGCTTGATATTCACGATTCCGGTTTTAACTTCTGGTTCATGTATGACTCTATGGGCATTGCCCAAACCCGTTTAATTTAAGTGCCAGGCAGGGACGCCCTTTTAGCGTCCCATTTTTTGACCAAAAAAAAAAAAATTAAGATTGAAATGGTTCTTTTAAGGAGAGATTATTTTCCGAGAGAATCATTGTTTATACAAAACCATTACTTATGCCCCCATTTGTTGCCATGTTTGTGCTGATAATCGACTGATTAGCTGAAACAAAGAACTTGTATTCGTTTGAATACAAGGGTTCGGAAGCAGCAAGGTTGTCAACCCGTCACTTTGACCTTGACCCAGTGAGAAAAACGGGTCTCAAGCACCCGCCGGGTAGACCGTTATAAGGTACTGGGTTGGAGGTCAAATTGTGTCATTTTATTCCTTGGTTTGCGAAATGCGCCTATTTACCGATTTTTCTTTTCGCCTAACTCAATTTTTGGAATTCTTAGTTGAACATTTGAATATTGATGTTATATGTGTGTGAATTTTCACTATATGTTGGATCTAAGTACGACATGTTACTTTGGTGTAATGTTATATGTTATTACTCATATGTTAGATGAGATTTTATATAATTTATTAGGATAAGTACAATATAATGACTCTTTCCATATTTTCGGGCTAAAACGGGTGACCCGTTAACCCTTGACCCACTAGCTTGATCGGGTCCGGGTCAACCCACGGGTTGACAACTTTGGGAAGCAGAGAAATATAGCTAGTGGTTAGCAAAACAAAAGAGATCGAAAATAGAGGCCGATTACAACTATTCTTTGACTTCAATTACCCGCCTTCTCGTTCCTCCTTAGTGGAAAATCTTTCATTTCTTTCCTTTGACCTCTAGTGTCCCAATTATCTCACTTGCTTTAATGTTTTTTGGTTAATCCGATTATCCGATTAACCAAACCAATTAAACATTGGTTTGATTAATTTAGTTTTCGTGTTAATTTGGACGGTTTGGTTAAGACATTTTATTCCATGGTTAATAAAATTTAGGGTTAATTGGTTTGGTTTTTACCACGATAACCATTTAAACACCCCTACCAGCATTCAGCCCAGCCGCACGATGGATCCGCCCCTAGATCTACGGTATTACTGACTCTATCCCATGCTGTCAAAAGGGAGATTGGTTTCAGAAACTTTGATAGTTCCTTACCCGCGATTTTTAATGGCGTGAGAAGAAAGACCAACATAAAGTTATTACTACTAATCAAAAGCTCTACAGATTGAAGTCAACCGTTAAAGTCACCAATCACAATCTTAACCAAGCATCTTTGTAGAGGAAGAGTTATACAAACTAAAAGTATAGAAGCAAAAGATCATTTGGCATGAAACTGGGTTTGACCTTACATGTTTTTCTACAATGGTTTGACCTTATATGTTGATGGTAAATCTTTGGCACACTGACGGGAGAAGAACCACACAAAAAAAGACAAAAGGTTTCCTCTACATATACCACCCACAGACTCCACAATTCCAGGTTAGAACTTTAGACCTGAGAGATCTCTAAACTGGAGCACTCATAACTTTCCTTTTAACCAGATGACTTCTAACTTCAGCTGGAACCATGAAACAACGTAAAGGAAGTAACTCCTCCCAACCACCCCAAACTTAAGATTGTTTCGACTGTAAACTACTTTTGACATTTAGCAAGTCCAAGATCAGACAGCTCACAGCTGGAACCAAAACACTCTGCAGAAATGAATGCATCCATGTCTTTCCTATTAGCAGAAGTTGAGCAGACATGAAAACTGTTAGTACGGAGATTCTCGGATTCCAACTTCCAAGCGGAAGAAAGTTAGAATAGTGATGAGATTGATTAATTTACCATGACGACTCTGTTCCAGGCTTTCCCTGGAGTGGACAGCAAGTCATAACCCAAATAGAAGATGCTTGTCCTGCAAAACAGAACCCAGGGAGGGATTTTAGCCAGGCTCTTATGATGTAAAGCAGTAATGATACCGATCTCCAGAAACAAACTCATTGAGCATCAGCAAGGAAAACTGTTCATAAAACCTGACTGCTTCCGCATACCCCAATCAAGATATCTGATCATGCAAACACAAACCCAGAAGCAAGCCTTAGTGACGATTCTGACAAAATCGAAAGTATTAAGAATGTACCGAGTTGATCTTTCCATCCATATACAACTCAAGAAAGGACTATACTATACACTTGTTGATAGTACTGCAAACTCGAGCCATTTTATTGAGAAACGCACAGAAATTAAATTGAGATTACATAGGGCACAAGTTACAAGCGCAAGGACAAACGGGAACACCAAATACTACTGGAACACCGTATCAGAAGGCCAGAAGGTTCAGTAAGAACTAAATTATAACAAAATCAATTGAAGGGGAAACTCTCGACTGAAACTCCAATGCGCGCTTTCTGGCTTCATTGGCTCGTTTCTCACTGCCATGATCAACAAGTATCCTCTCCATCCCTGTGAAGCATTCCAGCACATACTCCATAAACTCGCAGTCAATTGGATACCCTTTAAACCCAATAATCTCCACTGTTTTTATGCTCTCACGAACTACTCTATCCACCCGTGGTTTCAGCATTCCTCCACACCATTCATCAGTGCAGTAGTACGTCATCATCTGCAAACCCACCCAACAACAACAAAAAAGAAAAAATCACAATAAGAGTCTGGATTAAAAGGAAGAAACCAACCCAAAAATCAATTCAGCTGTGAATAAATTTATTACCAACACCCTCAATGTGCGCAATCGAGGACAAGCGTTTATCAAAGTAACCAAGCCGATGACAGTATCATCGAACCTTCCGGATATCTCAACCTTCAGCAGCTCAAGGCGGGTGAAGTCAGCCACATTCGAAAAACAGATGCAATCCTGTAACAGCAACAAATTGCAACATGAGACAAACCATTGAATACTTAAAAGTCAATCAATAGGAGTAGAAGGAAGGGTAGTAGCGCCTATTTCTCTTTTTATTTTTATTTTTTCTTCTTCAACTCACCGTGGTGATGTTCATGGTAAGCGCCGCCAATTGAGCAGCATACTGGGAGATGGAATGAAATGGCAAACCAGGTTCATACCCAGCAAAGCCTACGTACACATCCACAAGACTAACACAATTCTCCAGACGCAGTTCCACTGGCGGATGACCCTGATATTTAAAGTGGGAGAGGCATGGGACGTTATCAACCTCTAGGGATTCTAGATTATCACATCCCCTCACTTCTAAGTGCTTCAAAGGAAGGGGTGATGATGAACCCGAAGCAATCCGGAGATTCACTATTAACTTTGAATCGTGCACCGCTAAATCTTCAAGATAGGGGCAATTCAAGATGAAGTGTTCAAGAGTCTCGCCCTTGACTTCGACATAACTCAAGCGTATGGACCTGAGGGACTTTATATCAGACAATCCAGCTGGAGTTTTGATGTAACTGAAACAATCCTCGGGGAAAACATAATTTTCACCATCACAGGAACTGTCCAGTAAAGGTGTGTCGAATGACAGCTCAAGGGACTCTGTCCTTTTCGAGATTGCAAATTTCAGCCATCTATCAATATCCCCATCCGAGTTGCACCGATTGGTCAAGGCAAACGAAATCCTAAACTTGGTCAGTTTTTTTGAGGCTGAGGACGCATCCGTTAGCTGCCGCACAACCCCACTCACCCATTCTCTGAACTCAATCCTTCTCCTCGGCATTAGATCCTCGTCGTAGTTAACAAGTTCCAACAGTTCAGAGGCATCAAAATCAAGCTCGGTTACAGCTGATTTCCACAGATTTACCCATCTACTTGAAAGCGATGAAGTCTTGGCCGCATCCTTGAGTTTCAAGAGGGACAGAATGCTGACGAGAATTCCGTCAGGTAATTCACTAATCCAGTCCACACCGATGGATTCCTCATCTTCTTCCTTCTAGCGCAAAAGGGATAAAAAAAAAAAAAAAGAACAATAACCAATTAAAGTTTGCAACTTTTGAATCTTTCCCTAAGCTAACCAACCAGTGAGTGTTAAAAGACAGAAATCAGACATACCTCATGTCCCGTGGAAACAGAATCAGAGGCTATCGTTTCAAGGCCCACTCTCCCTCCTTCCTCTTCTTCCTGCCGAAGTGAAAAAAGAGGAGGCGTGTGAGATAAACAAATATGCCCAAGTTTCGAACTTTTCTAAGACAACCCAAAAAAGCGACGAACAAGGAGAAAGATGCTTGCTTACTCTCTCTTCTCCGAAGCCATACTCGGGCCCCATGCCTCTGTTACTGTGTTCTAGCAATTGGATGGGTGAGAAACCCTAGAAGGAGAAGAGATGCTCCCTTTCGATCTTCAGACTTCACTCCCGGAGCAGAGGAATTCCGGAAGGTAAATAATAAACAATAAATAATCTGCTGAAATGCTTTGATGTCTATCCATCTAATCTATTGACCCTTTGTTTTTATAGGCCCCATGCCCTAGTCTGCTACGGATTCGGAAACCGACAACACAAAACAAACGGAAGCACAAAACCCAACAAACATACATGTTTCCTTTCTACAAAAGAAAGTAAATAAATTTAATGGAAAATACACTCGAGCGCAACTCTCACGATTGTAACTCTACTCTTATAGTGACAAATGTTAAAATACACAAATTAGTCACTTTCGTCTATATACAATTATACATTATGATTTTTTATTCAAAATATAATACCCGCTAACGCCTCTGATTTTTTATTCAGCTGATCCCGATTATCCAGGCCTCACCATTTCCTCTGCATAATTAGTTAATTACCCTTTTGCAAAAAGAATGAGTTAAAAGACAACTAAAAAAGCGGAAAGAGTTCCAATGGAGAGAGTTCCATGCGAAGTTGGATGGAAGCCGCCAGAGGAAGGATGGATTCAAATCCAATCTGATGGCTCCTTTCATGCTCAAAGTGGTAGAGCAGCAGCAGGAGGTTTGCTCAGGGATCACCTAGGTAGATGTTTGGGTGCCTATGTGTGCAATCTTGGACGTTGTTCTATCACTGCTGCTGAGTTGCGAGGATGCTTGGAGGGCTTGAGGATTGCGTGGAAGGCAGGTTACAGGAAGATTGTTCTTCACAGTGACTCTACTACTGCCGTCAACATCATTAAACACAGAAATGATGATGTGCATCGCCATGGCACAACTGCCAGGCACCTGAGCTTGATTTTGGATAGACAATGGGAGGTTAGAGTGTCCCATGTGTATAGAGAAGCAAACTATGCGGCCGATTACTTGGCCAACAAGGCTCATGTTTTTGATTTTGGCACACATCATTTCAATGTGTGTGATAGGGACTTGGTTAGATGGATCAACCATGATGTTATGGGAATCCCCCATGTAAGAACTATTATTAATATGAATTAGACGCTCGACGTCTGTCTTTTAACACAAAAAAAAAAAAAAAAAAAAGCGGAAAGAAATCGTTTTTATTTGTTAGAGCAACATCTCAAAGCGTATACATTGCACAAAGTGAATACCACAGTCCACAGACATTGAGCATTCCGCCATATCATGCTTTTAGACAAAACTAACCTCACCTTTAATTACAAGAATTGGTAATCTAGGGGGAAAAAATCAGCAGGCCAGAATGGGGAAACCCTGTAATGAAGTTGACCAAAAATCAAAAAAACCAAAAGTAACAAAAGAAGAAAGAAACTGTTACACAAAATCACTTCCAATGGTGGGTGGCTGTGCTGTGACTCTTTTTACTACATCCCGTTGAACTGTACTTGAATCCATCAGCTAGATTGTTATTGTTCGAAACTGTGAGGTACCGGCAGGACAGCAGATTGAAGACTTAGCTTCTGGGAAACCACAGGAGCTGGCTTAACCGACTTGTGTCTTTCATCGCTCGACTGCAAATAAGTCTTCTCTGACCGGAAGTGGGTTTGATCCAGTTCGGCTTCTGGTTTTCTCTTCACCTTTTTCTTCACCGAAACTCCTTCACCAACAGCAAATTCCATTTTCACTTCTTCCATGGAAACACTTCCTTTCGCCCTGTCCTGCTTTGGCCTCTCCAAATTATGGGCACTCCCCAAGATACTACTACTGGTTCCCTGGGTGATCAACATCTGGCCGGACATCGGTTTGCTAGCCAAAGCCAACACCGGCCCACCACCTGTGTTGCTAGTCGATCTCTCACGCAAGTGCTGCTGCGTCTGAGCCTGGAAAGCTGTACTTGGATCAGCTCGGTCAGGTTCCTCTGTTCTCGCTTGCATTATCTTTTTCCTTCTGATTTTCTCCTCTTCCTTGCAAAGGTTTTCAACAAATAAGTACTAAGCAACAGAAAAAACAGAATTGCATTAAATTGTTCTCACCTTAAGAAAATAGTCGAGAAGAGGCAGCATGCATACCTTGTTTCGGCTGTAAATAGCCCTTCGTCTATCTTTTGCTCGACATATTGCTCTTTTGATGCCGTGGTTGTCCATGGCACCACTTGGCCACAGCCCGACGAGCTGAAATGTAGACGACAAGCCCAGAAGACTAGTCAGCAAATATTTGGATTGGTATCCCAGAAACAGAAAATACCCATGCTACACATAATGACAGAAATTAAAGTAATTGAATATCCCACAAGGAAACAAGGTGAACGTTTGAGACTGAAAACAAACGCACGCTCCAGTCAAGAACATACCGAAGTCAAGTGCATAAAATGAAAAAGGAAAATAACGAGAGATGAACAACCTCCATATACAACTTTCTGACATGTGGACCTGCATCTTCATCAAGTCCCTAAAATCATCAAAGAGTTAGTGAACCAGATCATATGAAAAAGAGAGAAACTTTTGAAAACCAAGCAAAGGGCAACGGAAGTTATGCATACATCAACAAAAAGGTCATAAAGATCACAAACTTTGTCCTCCAACACAGCATCCATGCCGAACTTCCGTTTCACGACTCCTTTGTTGTCTGAATTAAGATCTTGAAAATCATCAGATGATCCAGCTTGGTGCTCAATAGCCTGATAATACAGATTGTGAAACGTAACTCAAAAAGAGCTACAAGTAATCTTATCATCCATTGACCAATGATGCAGGTGATGGGATAGAAAAGAGCACCATGACTAGCAAAACACTTTATCCAGACCATAGCCTGGAGAAAAATCATAGTCAAGTTCATAGCTGTCCCTGTCCTGAGAAGGGAACTGATAGTTACAGAACCAGAAATGATACTATAAGGTTTCCTAATCTAACCCATCTTGCAAAACATAGGAGGGGCAAGAAAAAAAATGAACAAAAAGGGGAAGTTGAAGAAAGTAGCATAAGGAGTTTTTAGCTCCTTCAGTTCTTTGGAGAAATTCTTATCAAAACATTCCGCGAAGAAACGATGAATGCAGATGTATTGGTGGAGAGAAAGGGGAAGTCCGGAGTTCATACCTTGGACTCTGATGATGGGACACGAGTCTTGATCATCTCAGCAACTTCCTTTTTAATCATTTGAAACCTATCATCTTTCTCTTGCATTGCTGACAAGCCTGAGTTCACCATAATTTTTAAGTTTCTCTGCACCGAAAACCAGATTGTGTTATCAATGGTTCATCCATAAAAAATCCCCAGCATATGTATCTAAGTTATGAAGTAGAATGAGATCAAAGTCAGAATTCAGGTAATGATAATACCAGGTTTCATAGTCAAAGCAAGATACAATACTCTTGATTGAATTCTCTATGATAAGAATCATAACTATTGCTGTCTATACTTCACTGTTAGTGACCAATGTGACTTAAACGAGCCAACATTTACTTGTGACCTAATCTCACATTCCAACCAAACCACAGTAAGCTCAATCATCACAGCCCCTCCAGCAAATGTATTATTGTGGACATACAGGAAGTAGGCTCGAGAGGGACACAAAAGATCACAGAAGTTGAGATGTTGATAAGAATTCCAACAGATACCTTCAGCGTCCGGAGCTGTATTAAGTGACCCAGGATACTCATGAGGCGATCTATTAAATCCATTGACATTTTTCCTTGGCTTGCCTGAAGTAACATGAAAAATAATAAGTATAGCATCAGTGTCAATGCTTGTTTAAACTTTAAACTACCAAAGACGTAATTTTTTTCAAAACTTCACATGAACCTTGATATTTTAAGAAACTTTACCAGAAGACCTGACTATCAATAAAAGAAGCAATAACTAGTTCAAGGTGATACCGCAAGTCGGGCAACTTTGGCTAGCTTCATCTTTATTTCTCTAGGCAACCTCCTTTTAATTGCTTGCGACGAAGCATCACCATCTTGATTGTCAATTGCAGGTGGCCTTGCTGCAACAGGCATATACACATAGAACAACTAAGCCTCAACCAGTAGGAAGATCCCAGATAACATAGTGGAAAGCAACTTCTCAGCTTACATTCTGCAACCATTCTTTCCAGCTCCTTGATGGCCTTTTCTAGCATTGAGCCTTTTGGCCTGACACTGGAACCATCCCTTTTGTGGACAGTTGATGCCTGCTATCATCAGCAACCCAAGTTGATAAAGGACTAGACAAAGAATTATAACCATAACTTTCAACGGCAATCCCAGACTATTGGAGCATAATGTACAGAACACATATCACCATCTGTAGTGAACAAAAGAGAAGGCAACACTCCTACCAGTGGACTAAGTAATTAAATGCAGATGGAATACGAGAATTATTAAAAGCATCAGAACACCAGATCGTAAAATTCATATACTTACTGTTTTATGCACAGTCATCTTTCCATCAGGAGCACTATTAAGGTCAGGCAATATTCTGAAACCATTTCTTTCTTTTGACTGAACAGACGATTCGGGTTCTTCAACATTATTAAAAGGTTTTCCAGACTGCAACTTATTTTGTCCATAAGCACTTTTATCCTGAATCTGATGTATGAGGTGTGAAGCATCAGAAGATCCACTAGCATCTTTTGATTTACTTGAAAAGTTCTTTGCTTGGTGACTTCCAGGCTTCTGCATCTGAAAATTCTTGTCTTCTGCCATTGATGCCTTACCATTTGACATCTTTGTGGTTGAAGATGGATCCAAGCATAGTTTAGCCTCTCCAGATTTCTTCTTGGAAGAAGTTCCAGACAAATTAAGGGGCTTCACATCCTCATTATATCCACCTGATTTAACCAAATCCTGTGAGGGGCTGGAGGAGTTCATTCCAAGTGATTGCACTGTCTTTGCAGCTGCAGATTTTCCAATCTTAGCATGTTTATTAGATACATTAACATCGCCACTGTCACCAGGAGCCTTATTTAAATCTTTTCTCCTCCTTTTCTTTGGCTGCAGGTTGGGAATAGCAGCAGGCTCACTTCTGAAACATACAAAAGTGTAAGAAATTAGTACAACAATGAGTTCACGCAAACTCATTGAGACTGATGGATCTGACTTCTTCCATAATAAACATGTGAATCACAATTAGCTAATGTCACATATTAACTTTCCCGGGATTACTGATGAATCACAGATGCCTGCTCTAGTGGGCCAACTGATAGATCCAATTAAGCCTCAATGAGGCACTGCAGAACACTGACAAGATTCTCTTGAAGTGGGGGAGAGAAAAATAAAGTGATGAATGGGTAACGGGCAAGAAGAAAAGAAGTTTCAGGGTGGTTTTAGCACACCGGCTTCACTTAAGCTTCAAAATCACTCTACAGACTTGAAACATCTCAACCACTCATCATTACCACATCGAAAAAATCCCAAATTTGCTTCTGTACCCTTTTGATGCACAAGAAACTCAAGATGGCAGCCATATACAACCTAACTTGGCTCGAAGGCATATTCATGAAGCATAAAGTTCAAGCAAGTACCTAAACAATT